TTTTTTTTTTTGTCAAGGACACTTTCATATATGATTCACCATTATGGAATAACATGGAAAGCATCGATATTCCCGGCGGAAGCACAGGGTTCGACTATCAGCAAACCAAGCTGCCGAATTTCTGGAGTACGCCCTTGACTCAGATCTGTCTTGGAATGAAAGTTAAGGACGAAGATAGGTTTATCACAATCAATCTGACGGCCAGTTCGCTGCATTCGATATTTTCCACTGAACAGTAATAAACTTGCCAACATCATTGGGTCGAAATGTTTGGAAAAAGGTAGTGGGTCCTCAGGCTTCACTGCAGCATTTGTGCAACAAAGAGGGTTTTAACGTGGTGTGTTCAGGTGCCATTAAAATGAGAATCGGTATCATTACGGATGACGTGCTGATGGTCTCTCCGTTTACTTGCGTGGGCTGTGACTCGGCTATTACGTTTGGAGGCGATGATTTTCAAGTGTGTGGGAATAATGGCTATAAGGATATCTCTGCCATGGGGTATATTCTGATAAAATAAAAAATCCCGCTGTATGTAAAACCAAGAAGCACCTTTGGGAGGTTAATCCGTTGTGCCTTATTGATATGTTTATAGACATCTCTGTGAGCATCATATGTTTGTAAGTGAATTTAAGAGCGAAGCACTACAAAGCTACGCAATTTGCCGGTCGTAAATTCTAGTAAACAACAATTCAAGCAGGGTAAATCTACCACACGGATCTCATAAATGCAAGAAATTTGTAAGTTTTTCGGTTCGTTTTTCGAACGATTGATATTATTACATTTATAAAGTGTTGATATTTCCTAAAAGAATTTTGTTCAATAGAAGATTGTAATTTAATTTAATCTAATTAAATTTAATTTTAAAACCGTTCAATTTCAGAATTTATGATTTTCAACACAAACTAATACGCAATTTTCTAGCCGTTAGTTCTAAAAAACAATGATTCAAGCATGCTGAATCTACTACATAGTCTCGTACATGCAAGAAATTCGTTCGTTATTCGCTTCTTAGCAGAAAATTTACAATTCTCTTAATCAAGATCTGGTCACGAAATATATCTTGGTCGTTTTTGCCTCGTCATTTATTGATAGTTTTCGGGTATAACACGATTACCCGGCAGACCCGACCCAATTATAATAAACTCTCTTTTTCGTGCACACCTTGTATCTGCATGCTCTGCTATAAAAGAATTGGTTCATGCTTTAGCTGAGCGATCGAGTTATGGATGCACTTGGGAGGTTTGGAGAGCACTCAAGAAGCTAGAGTTGCTCTCGGCTGCGCCTCGAGTAACTCTTACGCTTCTCTCATTACTGGAACGACTCTTGCTTAATTTACTCCTTGCTCAAAGTCATGGTATTAGGCTGGCGACTTTATTACTACTGCTGAAAAGAAATTGCATTGTAGAAATCAGTATTATATTGTCTGAATTGGAATTGCATGAGAATTTCCTGTTCGTATGAGGCTGTGTTCTCAGCTCACAATTTTAATTTGTTCGTTTCCTCTTCCGCTTGCATAATGTGCGTGGTATTTTCCTTTTTGATATTGTTTTTCCCCTTTTAGTAATGTTTGTTTATGTTATTTCTAGCAAATGACCACATCAACCCACCAGCAGCTGCTGTGATGCCACACGACCAAGGAGTCTGGTTATTAAGTGTTCGAGTGTTCGTCTTTTTGTGTGAATAGGAGAATCAATGACTTTGTGGCAAGTGTGTTTCGTGTTTGCTGCTTTATCGAAACATTCTTGGGATAGCAAAAAATTTGTAAATGCAACTGGAGAGAACCTGAGAGGGAACCTTCTCGAGAGAGAGCTCCAATATGTGGCCCAAATTCATGATAAACTACAAGACGCTGTTGGTTGCAACGATGTTGCAGTTCTCAACGTGGCGTTTGATAGCGAAAGGTGGAAAAACGAATCTCTTATTGCAGTCAAAGTCGCCAATCTCTTGACTTCTCTCTGGTCTGTGAAATCGTCCGCTTCTGCCGAATCTGTTGTTGAGAATGACATTTTACTGTTTCAAATGGTTCGCTACAACGTCCGTTTCTCTCCATCTGTTTTCGGATCAGCTGTATGTTTCGCGCCAAACTTGTACAAGGACTATGAAAGGTTTTGTCCTTATGCGTTCAGGGACAAGAAATTGAACGGAAGCATTCATGTTACAGATCTTGGGCAAACGGATTACGATTACACTACGAGCCCAAACGCTATTTGGTGGCCTGCAATCACACAAAAAACCAGAAACAAGAGGTCAACAGATTGGATGAAAGTGACCGACTTTTATTCAGTAGGAAGCGCGAATGGAATTGTCGAGAATGAAACCCGCAACCGATTACTTGTGACATACGAAGATGGTTTGTGGACTAGGCCGTATTTCGATTGTTTTGGAGGCAAAGAGTGGATGATAACCTATCTTGCTCCAGTTTTAAACGAAACCAACGAATTTTTGTAAGTTTGGTTTTTGTTCAATAATTTTGCCTCCATCTCTTATTCATCTATAATCATCGTTGTTTAATTGTTTTATTTTTATTCTTAGCCAAGTGCATTGGCTGGGTCTTATGGTATAGGATGAGTGCGCTATCATTTGAGTACACTATCCTAAAGAGCAGTTTTCTGTGAAACGATAACAAAGTGTTGTTAAAAAGTAAATCAACTGAATCTAAGAATAACAATCGATCCTCTTCCAGGTGAGAATAGTCTTGTAAAGAACTCTTGAAGATGGCAGAGACTGACGTTTTTTTCGACAGGTTGTGGCGGCATATGCCACTACTACTGACCACAGTCCTCTCCCGGACTTCTCCAAGGCGGACGATTATCATAACAAGATCAAAACTGTCTTAAACTTGAGTGAAGTCATTGACTTCGCCAGAAGTAATAAATTCGTCAACTGACTCCATTTCGGTTTGCTTGGCACACGCGCTTCTCTATAGTCCCGCGCGCGTAGTAAGTAAAAAGTCGTAGAGGAAGTTATTCATTTAAAATATGCGTAAAATCGGCATTCAGAAAAAAAGAATCGCGACTCAAAATTTAAACATTGAAATATGAATGAAATTATACAAAACTATTATTTCGCAATCATTTTCTCAAATAAACAGCCTATCGTAATAATTTTTATGTCAAGCTTTTCCAGCCGGTTCCAATTATTTAACCTATACATCGTCTTGTTGAGTTTTTGACCGTGAGAAAAGAGCAAATTTCTAATTTTCCATGAATTATTTAGGCAGGGACTTCGCCGGGGTCGCAAAACGTTTTTTCTAGCGTAACGATTTCACGTCATACGTAAGTCTGAAAGAAAAATATGCGGATATCAAGGGAAAAGTCGAAAATTTATCATATAAATAGCCTGAATGGTAGCATATTGTGAGCACAAAACAACCCTCACATCTGTTCCGGATAGCCCTGTTGTTTTTAGAAATCGGTCGTTTTTAGGAGACCGATCAATATAAAACCGGTTGAAAAACCGCAAACAAACCTACTAGTTAAATAAAAAATTAATGACGAAGAATGGGGCGGAAAACAAGCTGTTTGTCATATTGCACTTTCTTTTTCTCAGACAGTTATTGTTTGCTTCATTGCATGCAAATATTTCAAAATATTTGAGTTGTAGTTAATGAAAACTGCAACACTTTTATCAGGCTTAATGAAACTGAGCGGCCTAATAGTGTTTTTGCCGGGGGGAGTTTTAGCTGTAGTAATTACGCAGTCGTTAACCATATGCAATTTTTGTGGGGAAACTTAGAACATGGGCAGCTTACAGGAAAAGTGGTCTGATCAACTGAGTTGATCATGTAAATTGCCGTTGTGAAGAGTTTCTAAAGCTTATCTTTCGAGCGTCGGCCCTTCGTCAGAAAAAAAGACTGAGGGCTATCGAGGTCTGATCAACTGAGTTGATCATGTAAATTGCCGTTGTGAAGAGTTTCTAAAGCTTATCTTTCGAGCGTCGGTCCTTCGTCAGAAAAAAAGACTGAGGGCTATCGTTTGAAAAGTTAACTTTAAAAACTCGCCACGGTGGCCAATTTATATTAACAAGTCAGTTAACAAACCAAATTATCTTGAATTTTAACTGCGTGAAATAAATTAACTATGAAACTAATTGCATTCAAATTAGTCATTTCTGCCTTTCGAAGTTGACTACTAAAGGGCCAACAGAATAGAAGCAAAATGCCGATCAATATTTTTGCGAAACAAATCATGTTTCCCGCGTACGAGACTAATTTTTCAACATCTTTCTTTATACCAGCGAATAAGCTTAAGATTCAACACCTTTTTATTTGGCATTTGATTCTGAACAGCTGCAGAACTGCTTGTATTGGCTCTAATACAGGGCATTTGACGCATAGGAGCCTTCAACACCTTTTTATTTTGCATTTGATTCTGAACAGCTGCAGAACTGCTTGTATTGGCTCTATACAGGACATTTGACGCATATGAGCCTGGTCAGTATGTTACCGGCTCGGTAGCAATCTCGTGCAAGAGCTTCCGTTACCGAATACAACGGTCAAGGGTCAGGCAAGCGCAAAGGGATCAATTTTGGCCGGCTGTGCGGCAATTTCCCGCGTAAAATTTCAGGGAAAACATGAAAAATAACCACTGTCTTGCAAAATATGCACAAATATTCAAACGCTTGTAGAAATCTGCACAGGGAGACAAAAAGTATGGGAAAGGAAAACTTGGGAGTCCAGAACACTAAAAATAATCGATTACAAGTATCCAAATACTCTGAAAGCTAGATTGGTTCACAAACGAGTTTGAAGAGCATTCGACGGCGGGATTAGAATTAGCGGAAGTTCAAAGTTTCACAGAGGATTCAGACCTTTTTGGTCTTAAAAGCGTGAAAATTGTTAACAATTGATCTTTCTTAAGATTAAGGGTTGCTGAGAAGGTGGGAACAGCTTCACGTTCTGCAGTCCTGGAAATAAGACTTGGCCGAACATTTTTTTTTCTTTTTTGCTTCTTCAGAGCTTTAGTAAGCGTGGATATTTCTCTTGAGGATGTAGATATCGACCAGTGCGATGCCCCAAACTCCGCTGAACAGCAGAGCTCAGAAGAGACTGGTGACCAAGCCAAACCAAACCATTTAAGCACATTCATGGGAACTCACAGGTGCAAAAAGAGCACAAAGGCAAGTTAAACAGACTAAGAAACATCAAATTCATGCAGATTTAATTCCATAACAAACTTAAAGGAAACCATCCCTGCCCCCTCTCCATATCACCCTTTAATCCGGAATAGCTATCTTTTTGCAGTGTGTACCAGTCCCTTTCCAAGGATTCAAACGCGGCACCTATCGCTGTACTTGCAAACGAGGCTACTATTTTCCAGACCCCACAGCAACTCGGAAATACTTTCCCGGGCAGGTCCTGGAGGAAGAGTACGACAAGATGCTGAGAGGCGAATCGAACCTTTATGAGCACCACTTTGAGTGCCTTGCTTGTAATGAGGGCTGTGAGGAATGTGTGGATGGCAGCGCATGCGTGTATGATGTATATACAAAGCTGAGATATTCTCTCCTTGTAATTAACTGCCTCTTTGTCGTCATTTCGTTAGCCCTCGCAGCATTGGTGTTCAAACTTTGGCAGAATAAGGTAAAGAAAGGGCAAGACCAGAACAGTTTGGGTTCATAATGCTCGTCACTGAAGTACTGGTTTCCAGGCCTCTGACTCTGACCCTTTTCTTTTTTTTTGCACAGCAAGTTACGTTATGCATCCCTTTTTACTATGTTTTAGAGGAGAGCACATCTTTAAATAAAATACCACAATTATAAAACTCCACACCGTGTTACTGTCCCAAAACCTAAAAGTCATACACCCGGCATTGTCCATTGGAAACGTTCAAAAGTTAATGAAAGCTGCTGTGTTTGATCGAGTAAGTACGGAAACCAGATACTTGACAGTTGTTTCTTAGAATAAGATTAGTCTCCTTGTTGTACTTGCTCTGGGCTAAGATCAAATGTCTCTGACCAAATCTTGACAGAAATTGTGCATTTCTATTATGATGTATGAAATGAATGAGTTCGTGGGCAGCTTTCTTTTCAGTGACATTTTCTTTCCGTCTGTTAGATATTCAAAGCTTCCTGTCCACGTTTTCTTGAAGTCATTATCTGCGGAGCGATAATGATGTATGTAAAGGTACGTGATTTGACTTGATCAATCAGTTATTTACTGCACAACTAATTGAATGAATATCTCTGTGATAAGTAGACTTTTAATGAGTCAATTTTTTACCCGTAGTTTTTAGTCTTTTTGAGAGCCTCTGTATGATGAAAGATAAACTATAACTTAGACAATGGTTAACAATTATTCACAGAAATGGAGGTGAATACCGATGGATATTTACTGAGCCGCGATAGAAACCGAAAAAATAGTTTAGTTCTGTCAGTAAACTGAAAAATGGTGAGAAATTGAACTATTGACGCGAGATTTTGTCTCTTCGGCTGCTCGGAGGTGAATAGTACTTGCTAATCTCTTCCGAACTAGCCAATCAGCGCGCGCGAAAAGCACTATTTACCTACGTTGTATATATGAATTGTTGATAATGGTTACATAGCGTACACGGGTGGGGCAATTCGATCGCGAAGGCCCCTCAAAAATAAATAAGCCACCTGGAAAAGCACCGGACTGCTGAGCGGGAGCTCCAGAGTTCGAGTTGCGCGATGACTTTGTTAGTTTGTAATTAAACCACGTTGGGAAAAAATTGTTCCTCTTAGAAGACATTAAACACAGCTTGAAACAACTCTGAAATTTTTTGCACTCGATCCACTTGGCCGTTTTGTCACGTCGGCTCCCGTAAATCCTCACCAAACAACGTTAGGAAAATAATCCAAAGGTAAGACCCATCATCCCAGTTCAGCTGTTGATGCATGTCCCTTTCATGATTTAAGCTTATCGTATTGTTCCCTAAACCTTCCGAAGTGCGCTGCATATTGTCACCTTGGTTACATCACCTGGGTTTCGCTTTGGTATATGGTTCTCTGGCTCTGAAGACATGGAGGTAAGAAGCCTGTTGTAGGCCCTCAGTTAGTAAAGGGGAGGAAAATTGTAAACGGAGTGTAATGGTGACAGGGCGAAAATGAGGGAGGTCTAGGTTGGGTCGCGTAATGAACGCGACTTGATCCAAACCTCCGTAGTCTTTCACTCCTCTGCTACTATCACATTAAGTTTTACTTGCTAAACGCCTGAGAGGCTGAGAGGCTGAGAGGCAAGTTTAAAAAGGTCAGCTTAGTAAATGATCATTGTAAAAATGATACTTTTCACGAGCCAGCCATCTTAAATTCCCTGACGATCATCCGCTCATCTAACCCTGTGACCCCAGTTCAGGTTTTCGGACCTTCAATAATAGACGCGAAACAGCCCGCCGGTCAGAACTACCACTGTAAAAAAACAAACAAACAAACAAACAAAACACTCATACTAGCAGTTGATCGATTGTCACAGTGGTAATTCACTCCAGGAAGTTCAAGTTTTCCTCGAGATGCAACTACTCTTGTCCTTGAAGGGGGAATTATTATGATTACGATTGGTAATCTTAAGCTTAAAGGATTAATGATTCTTATTCAATAGTAACCATGCATTTCCCTTCCTTTTTTCTTTCGTTTTTCCACCACTCCAGAGTGGTGTTAATTTTCCGCGTGCGCTCCGCTCGTAAGTTGGCTATAACAGACAGTGTGTTGCTGAGGAGATTGGCAGTTATTGTATTGCTGTATACAAGTTACTTGACCGTTTGGATGGTGATACAGCCACCTTCCATCGAATCAAGTATTACCGCTGATAAACTCAAATACGACAGATGCTCGACAAGCTCGTTTAGTCACATGATCTTAGCAGGTAAACAAAACATCCTAAATCACGTAAGTGCCTATCAGTGCTACTCATTGTGGCCCGATACCTAAATACGTGGATGTCTTAAATGAAGCAAAATCAATCTGTGTCCAGGGAAGATGAGAAATCTTTAGGGTATCTCTCTCCCTAAGAAATGTGTTTACCGCGTAATAAGCGCGCTGGACTCTGGGTAGGAAATCCCTGGTTCGAGCAAAGCCTGGTCCCTGCATTATTTTTTTCGGTAAGTACCCTTATTCTCATGGTGCCATAAAGCATTTCTCCACTCAGGACTTGCGACAAGATGATTGGGATGAATGCGATGCGATGAATTAGCATTCTATTGAAAAAGAGTCATGATACTTCGATGGACTGACTATCAGAGACCGTGGTACACAAGCTATGTTATAGCATACTTCAGAAGATCCATAAATAATTCCTGGAAATTTTAAAGCTTTCCCTAGTACACAAAGAATTAATCAAAATTTGCATGTTTTTACACTTCTCTACTTCTGATAATGTTTTATTGAGTATATTTGTCATAAGTACGATCTGGTAAAGCACTTTTTCCTGGAACAATTCCAATAGAGCAAGTTCCGTTACAACAATTTTTGATTATTTCTTTCTTTCCCTCAGCTGACTTCGTAGTCCTTGCTTGGGGAATGTGGCTCAGTTTCAAAGTGAGAAAAGTACCACAAGTTTACAATGAAAGTAAATTCATCGGCTATGCCATATACAACGCCACGTTTATAATCTGCTTCATCAACGTGTTGAGGTAACGCAAAATCATTCTCAGGCTCCTGAGTTTCCAACCTCATTGGTCTTTTTTCCTCGAACAAAATAGGCCAGAATCCGGCATTTTTGTGATATTAGGCTTGGGCAGTCATATAAACAATGAGTGCTTAACCCTTTGACTCCTAAATATTATTAACATCTAATTTCTTCTTACAACATCACCCCTGAATCAAACATTAAGGACATGAGAATAAAGGATTTGATCAACTCTTTAATGCCAATCAAAAAGTTCGTTTCAGAATAGAAGGCACCGTCCTCTCCCACTTCCCTTCTCTAATGAACGTTCCCCTCCCAAGTTTCCTGGCAGCAGAATCTTATATTTATCTCTTTTAGTGTTGTGCTAAGTAGCGGCTCATCTCCTGACGTGATGTACGCCATGGACTTTATAAACATCAACATTAGTGCCTCTGTCACGCTGATGCTTTTGTTTTCCCACAAGGTACGACTAAATGGGTCGATTGCCGTATTACCATACAGTAACACCTAGTTCATTAAGAAAGTGTTGACGCTATAGAAACACAATCTTTTTATGGTTAAAAGGATACGATAAAAAGATGATAAGACCTCTCTCTATATGTGAAAATGATGTAACAGTACTAGACCTCTGCTAATCTCCTTCGCAGCCTTTCTTTGGTCTCGTCACGCAACACCCTCTCTCAACCGAGAGAGAGACAGAGACAGACAGACAGACAGATAGACAGACAGAGAGAGAGAGAGAGAGAGAGAGAAAGAGGGTGCTGCGTGACAAGACCAAACAAAGGCTGCGAAGGAGACTAAAGTTTTGCAGGCCTCCATTTATCACTGTCACACAAGAGTAAGGCACACATGTCACTAGAGGACTGTAGGCGTGACCATCAAAGTAATGTAATCTTCCCTATCCCGAAACACGGAGAGCTGCGAGAACGCAATGTTTTTTTATATCTTACATGTAACATGAAGACGTCCATGTATAAACATTAGCCTCTAATTAGTGCGAAAACATGTACAGATATTTGTCCGCGATGCGAACAGCGTAAAATCAGAAAACTGTTATGGACTTAAGTTTTCATGAAAATTGAAGAATTTTCTTGGATATCACCCAGTTTTAGCTGAGGAATATATGTCATATGCTGTGTTTAGACCAATCGCGCGTAAGCAAAAATATTTGATGGATCATAAGTTCTAATGATTTTATCTATAATATTCTTTGCAGATTTTTTTAGCTTTGGCCTTGAGAAGTAACGGCCACCGCACCTCTCCTCAGGAGAATAAGTTATCGGTTCGTTCCAGAGGGGAGACATTTGCTAAGGAACTTGACACAACTATACTCGGTGGAGAAAATGACGAACTTAAGGTTGGCGTCGCTTGATAAGTCAGTTATTTGATCACAAGCAACTCATTGCGCGGCTAAATTCTAAAATACCTCGGCCTCGGGGGACTTGGAGATACCACAATTGTCTTCACGGGCTTGTATCTTTAGTCAGTGACACTTAACTTCGGTGCTGCAGAGCTCGAGGCCTTACTCTTCCTTCCTTTCTTTCACTCTCTGTTACTCTTTTACTCTTCAATCTTTCTTACTTTGTCCCTTGGTCCATTCATTTATTTATTTATTCATTTATTTTTGATATTGTTTTGCTAGCTTGTCTTCTTGACTTGCGTCACGGACCTCGCTGAAAAGGAGGCGCTGCTCGTAGTCGAATAAGTTTTGTAATATCTTGTCTAGTATGAATTTTTACCGTTAGTCCATAGAGATTGGCCGTGATCATTATTTGCTGGCATTTACCTCCATTTGGCAAAGCTTGCACTTGTCGCACAAACACTCCTACACTTACAACTGATAGTTAACCATTTTCTTTTGCTTTCCTCAGCGGGAAGTACGAAGACTTGCTTCGAAAGTTGCACTTCTTCAATCTCAGTTGATGACCGAGCGAAACAGACACGTAACGAAGATTGGGTCTAGCTAAAAGGCTAAGTGTCCAACCTGCAGCCAATTTGTCGTGAATGAGTGACTTCCGAGTTCTTAAGTTTAATAGAATTAAGATTTCGTAGCTCTCTTTAAAAATCATCAAAACATCGACGGTCATAATCTCTTCCTGTACGGAATTGGATCCTCTCAGTTTGTTCATGAACTACTATAGTTTGTAAACCTGTGCAGCAGTAAATGCTGTTTGAAGCGCATTCATTTTGTTTTATTTGCTAATCATTTGACTCGTGAAGAACAGAAACCTGCCGCTGCCACTGCGCATTTCCTGCCATTGTTTAGCCCAAGGCCGTTACGAGTTTCTTTAACCACTCTGAGAAATGAGCATTTTTCAGCATTGAAGATATTCTTAAACCGAATCTATAAAATTTTTCGATCTTTTCTTGATCTTTGTTTTGATTCCATCTTATTTTATTAGATCTCATTACTGTTTGCTGTCTCCTTCAAAAATTTAAGGCAATTTTGGTCGGCGTAAACTGATCATTTATCATTGATTATAAGTAATATTATTTTGTAATGAAACTAAGCACCGGTGCAATGTTAAACCAAGCTTTTCAATAAGAAAAATAAAAATATTACTCAATTAATCTATTAATTTTTTTCGCCTACTTCCATTATAATTTTTACTATTTCCATTTTAGATGTTATTCTACACTACAAGAAACATTTTAACAGCCAACCGTGAAAAACAGAATGTTACTTTATCGGTGAGATATGTGATAGCCATTAGTTAATCAATAGTACATACGAGGAAATAACATTTATTCTTAGCATATAAGTGACGCATAATTTTAGAAACCTTAGGTGTGGTGGGATTTTTTTTTTGGAGCATCGTCCGTGACTAACCTTACCGGTAGGGCAAGCAGTAAATTCGTTTGTCGTTTCAATTAGGTGATTGACGGAAATAACTCTGTAAACAGCCTACGACCAACGTCAATCGCTGTTGTTTAACAGTCCGCCCAAACAGAGGAAATAACTCCTCCTAAATATGGCATTCATCCCAAGAGTTTTGAAATCAAAGGAAGTTTTATGGTTCTATGGTTTAATTTTTTATACACAGACAGACTGAATTTCCTAGAATAGCTTAGGACAATGTTGTGAAACCTAAACACGTTTTTTTTTTTTTCGTCAAGAACTTCTTTTGTGGCACTCAGTACATATTTCTACCTCTTTCCACAGGCTTGTCAATAAGGAAAAGCTTATTCATTATTTATCGCGTATCATCTTGTTAGTTTTTTTTTCCCTTTCTTTACGGAAAACAATAAATCACGTTCCCAAGTTATTTAGAGAGTGAAACGTGACCTACTTTGTTTAGAAAAGAAAACGTACGTCTAAAAATACTTGTCGCTGATTGTCAGCTGATGCATCTGTCCATCCTGGGTGTGTAGGCGTGTTTTTTAACATCCCCGATTTAGAGTAATTGAAAACGAAATGAAGATCATATGTCCAACGTATCTATTTCAAGTCTCATTAAGCATTTATCAAATCGAAGTAATTCGCAACAAAGACACAAGAGGACAAACAGTTTGTGCGTGGGAGTTGGCAGTACGTAGACCGATAATAGTGGGCCAGGGTTAGGTACAATTTACGGAACGGCGAAAATATCGCAAAAAAATATTTGTGTTTTTGTTCGCGTGGGATCTCCCTATCGCAGATGTGTCGTGTTTTGTTGAAAGTGAAATGGGATCCTTCTCCACGAGAGAGACGTAGAAAATATGTGTATCCAATACACCTTCCAATGATATAGACAAGATGGAAACTCCTAAACAATTTGATGATAATATCACGATCACCTGTGATTCTTTTCTGAGACACCAAGATACGACACAAGATAAGAAATTCGGAAATTTCTCTATATCATGGGGGCGTTAAATAATGGCGACTTACATTATAGGAACGCCCATTTCCATTCCGATAACTCTTGTCGACACATATCTATATATTTTCAAAATTACTGAGTTAGTTCTCACAATTTTTGCAGGTTAGAGAGAGTGCAAATGATAAAAAACGAGATTGCTGCAAATTCTTTCATATATTTTATCAGCATGGCAAAAGAAGAAACGAAAACATGAGACGCACTAATCGACAAAAGGTCGCTTTTTCAGCAACCGACGTTGAAATAATTTTTTGCGGAAAGAAAGTTGGTTCATGTTATTTCTTATTTCCGTTTCCTTCCTTTGGAATTTACCATCACTATGACTATACGTTAAAGCTTTTCACTTGAGCAAATAAAAGAAACTTTTGTCGAAGCTAAAGCAGACGAATTTAAGGCCCAATATTTCAGCTTTAATTTTGTCACGGAAAGATTATATTTCTAATTATGAAAAGTCTGCGTAATTCCTTAATGTAGTTGCCAGGATGGCTTCAAGTAGTTTAACTTCAGAGACAAACAAGACCAGTTTCATTTATCCGACTTTTTAACCACCAATTTTAATCAGCTTAGACCTTAAAAGAATCCAATTTTCGCTATGAAAGATATGACGACAAGAATTGTTTTTCCTTCATCGACGTTTTACGATAAGTGAAAACAAGTTTCATTCTCCATGCATGTTACCGCAGAAACATATTTTGATACTTGCGTCAGAACGTATGGCAGCTTGATGGAGAAATTATTTTAAGCCTGCTTTATGATCATCCACCGATCATTTTGATAGCTACTGACGCACGAGATTTCCAAGCTGCACGTTTAATTTTTTTATGCCTCAATCAGTCGAAAAAAAACCACCCTTCATTTTTTTCTTGGGATTCGCGAGAGTGTCAAAAGATTTTAAACAGCATCAACTCAGAGGACTAAACTGGGCAAAAACATTGGAAAGTCTACCCCTTAAGTTAAAAAAAAATTATAGCGATCTTTCCCAAAAGTGAGGCTTGAAAATTAATCAAGAGACAGGAACTACGTCAAAACACGATCTTGGAAGTCCATAGCGAACAATACTATAATCTGATTGTGACATACCTCCTAAAAAAATGTATGGTTGTTCAATTTGTATTTTTACTTGGAATATTACATTAGCAGACGTGCTGTTATTAGTAATATCGCGTTAAGATAAAATAAAAAAAAAGATTATAACAAGAATATATTGGATAATAGAAGAAGAAAAAAGGATGAAAGAAATCGACCGCGCAATGCAAGCTGTCATTCAGTAGTCATGCGGGCAGGCATTGACAGTCTGAAATCTTAAACACATGCTCACTGATCATTGGTTACGACAAATTGGTTCCCAGAGCCACGCTTTTCACCTGCCCAGCGGAACAGTTGCTGACCGCTGGTCAATGAAACGAAGACTCCAGGAGAGAGATTGTTCTGATGATAAAGCTAAGCCTTTATCAAAAAGACCAAAACGTCAAAGGATTACAAATGAACCAAAATTATATCGTAAGACCAGACACAACACACGCACTCGCCAAATTCTGCCTTGATTTCAAAACTGGGAGGAAATTCGGAAAAGCTTTACATGAACCTATACCATACCACTCTAAAACAAACTCGTAGTTTCATGGGCAATCAAAATATTTTCGTTACTGTGTTCTTTATCCAAGAACTGTATGCGTGATGAAGTATGGGAAATCTTGCCGAAAATCCTACAGTCTTGAGGTAACTGAGAGACTAAAAGACTGCGATCTACTAGATGATCAAACATGTAGCTTCAGAAATGCACAGAAACACGCGCCAAGTACTAAAAATGTATTTACCGGGTGAGGCCAAACTCTAGGAAGGGCGTCGTGAATTACCTTCGGTCTCTGAGCAAAACGTGGCAGCATGAATATTCATCCCTTGTTCTACATGTAACATACAATTACCCGACAGTGATTGATAATATATTTTAGTGCGATACCACCAACAAAGCTCGTGGGGAGAGCATTAAATTCTTTGCCTGTAATGGGGTCCATTATGTCCGGGCCGCTTTACGCAAAGAAGACTACAACCCACAAATGACGTCATTTGCAGTAGTTACAGTCACCACATGCTGAGGGAAAACAATTCCTATTTTGTATGGCACATAAATATATCCTTCATATGGACTGCGCGGGTGATGGAGATTATGTTTGTTTATATGTTTTTTTTTTCTTTTTTGCTCTGAATTTCTTTAAATAGCAAAGAATGCGTCTGTGAACAAAGAGCGAAGTACCAAGTCTATTCCAAACAACTCCTCTGTTATAGATGCCTACCGATTGTCCGATTCTTTGGTTGACGCGATAAGATGGACAAAAGTGCCCCTTTATTACTAATTGCCTTAAGTTAATTTCTCTCCCGTCAGACATCAATCATATTTGTAGCTCGGGGTCAATCTTTGAGAGGAACATGAGATGTAATGCTATTACGCAAAATAAGACTCCAAAAATGCAACAAGTGTACCGCTTTTAATTGAGATTCATTTGCCGGTGGATTACTTCATCTGTTAAGGCGTGTAATGCTACATCCCGAATAACTAAAAAGGTATCTGTCCTTGAGATTGGATTTTATGTGCTTGTCAAAGTCAAGGGAAAGTAATGTCCCATTATTTTCTCTTGTCAAGGTTTAATTTATTTCGGTGTACTCACTTTAGCGTACGCTGTAAGCGAGGAACGAAAAGAGCTCGTTCTTGCAGAGGAGTGCAAGAGGAACACGTAGAAGACATGTGAACGCGTAGAAGACATGTGATCCCTGTTTCTTCAACGTTACGTGTATCCGCGACCACGAGAACATATGACTCCCATAGCTAAGAAGCAAGACTTGACCACAGGAATACTCACCATTAAATTTCAATTGCGAAATCTTAAACCTTCTGATTGCCGGTTGGAAAGAGACATGATTTACTATGTGGATGATCATCGACAATTACTCCTGAATATCTTTTACCATTTCCCTCGTCTTATTAAGACGAAAAAGGGGTTCAAAATCGATAGCATCAGCTGTTTTTTATTATTGTTATTTTTTATTTTGATAGTACTAAGGTAGACATAGCTGTTCGCAAACAACAGCCACAGCCGCACCCTTCAAAGCCGACTCATTCCCCTCACTAGTTCGCGTCAAAAATATTATTTGTGATGAAACAATTTCTGTCAAAAATATTCTTTAGTTTGTTACGAAAACATCTCATATTTTGATCGGGACATTGACGTGATGCTCAAAAAGTTTACCTATGTACTAAAAGTTCTGTAAGGAGTATTTTGGCCAAGACGTCACTTCACATCGCTTTCAGCCTAAAATTATACTTTGTATTTGACCTCTTGAAAACATATTTTCTGCTATAAACTGTATCCAATTATTTTATAAAGAATCTTAAGTGGTTTTTGCGTACTTTAGACTGGGACCATTTGAAAGCTACGCTGGATTAAAATAGATACATTGTGGTTTTGGAAATTTTCAGAATGGCTACGCCGATGGCAAGCTGCCACCAATTATGTCCCGACACCTCTTAAGCAAGTATAAACTTGAAAATCCGAACAGGGTGGTAAATAATGATCCTCAAACTAGAAACCCAGTAATATTCTCTCTTGTAGCGTCAGTTCAAAATTAAACAACTTGTACTGCTGTAGACGTACACTGATCATTGATCACCAATATACCGTAAACCGACACATCATAATCCTATCATTATTTATAGTGGCTGACGGATTTGAGAAATTAATTTTTTAATCCACTTCACTCATTTCTTGCGGATCTTTGACAACACACTTTGCCCACTATGCGGGTAAAAAGTCCGCAATTCGAAAAACAAATTCCTGTTTTTCTTTTCATGGGACGATGGAGCGTGGTGCCGGATTGATTCGAAACGAAAACGTGAATTAAACAAAATAGTAACAGGTATAGAAATTCCTGAGAAGGCGGAAAATCTCCTTCATCATGATGTTGCAAATACTGAGAGAGAAGAGAGAGCGGCTTGAAATTGGTTTAGTAATTTGATAAAGAGATTAAAAGTACGTCATACGACCTAAATGTGGGAAAGCCTCAGTCGTTGATATGTGAACTCTAGGAGATGACTCAAAAATTTCATTTATTTTCACAAAGCTCTTATACTCATTGTTGAAGCTTGTATTATCTCTTATGATCCCTGTCTAATTTTGAGATATATATAGGACAAACCAATACAGAAACTCAAAAGAATTTACAATGATAAAGATTGACGTCATAACTGTTACACATGGATCGCTGAATGCTGACGTGCGATCAAGTTTTCAGGCTCCGAAGAGGGAGTTCAGTCGTGTTTCATCCGGCGAGAAAGGACAGAAATGTTGTTTTTTAGTTAAAAAATAGCCGGGATAAAAAAAGGACTTATTTTCAAAAGCTTTTGTGTCAGTTTGAGGCCTGCGTAACATGAACAAAAGCAACGAGAACAAAGAGGCGTTTTTTTTACCGTGTGTAAATTTCCTTTCTGTTTTTCAATTACGACGGATTAAAGGCTGGCACGCTCCCAAGAAACATTTAAGCGTAAACAAAACCAGAGGCATGTTCTTGGGTTTATAAACAACCTAAATAAATTTCCGAATCTTTTTCGTTTGGGCTTAAAATAGCCTTAATCAACTCCCATAAAACTAAATATTAATGTCTTGACACACATACAGCAGAGGCTGTGACGATCGTTTATGACGGGTGCTATTCGAAAAAAAAAATACAGGAAAAACTTATGAAACTTTGTGTATTTCTATTTATAATGTCAGACGTAAACTGAAAAAATCTTTAACTCTCCCTCAATGGTCGACTAAAGCCTTTAAATAATTCCATCTTTTTGTGACAATACGATACAGCCTGCTAAACAAAAGGGAAAAGTTTTGAAGAAACCGATGATTGGACTGAAAAACGAAGGGATCAATCAACTCTGAAAGGATCACGTTTGTTCTCGTAAGCAATTACCTCATAATAGTGTAATCAACCGCGCTAATGACGAAATTAAAACTGAATTTTTGGTCAGTACTTTACTTCTTTTATCATCTTCGCCGAGCTCAACTAGAAGATTCACGTCAGAACGACTAATAACACATGCTCTCTGTTATCAGATTGTCACATACTGATCACCACGCATGGGCAATCATTGTGACCTACGGAGCACAAGTTTATGATACTCACAATGATCATGTCTTTCACCTTGGGAGATGTTTTATTTTTTCTTCTTGAATATTTATTTGACTGACAAGCCGTATTGCTTTAGAATCTATCACCCTAATTTTTTTTTCTTTTTTAACCAAGAGCTTGTGAGTGAAGACAATATTTTCACAACACTACGATACCGTTACAAATGAGTTAGTTTCTCGAAAAAACCAGAGTCATGAATACTTGAATGTACCCCAAGGCAGTCACGATTGTATGACAATCAATCGTTGTCAGTCTTAGCTTCCTTCTAAACATCTCTCCTTTCAAAACTACTGATTTTGGTATTCAAAGTTCACTCATGAGATCCTTCCCCGATTCTGAATGATCAGATGTTTAATGGAAATAACAACCTTTTAAACAACTGCTGCGAAGTTTCCTGCGACTGAGCACGCAAAAGCCGTTCAATTCGAATAAACAAGGTTTGATAGTTTCTGTTTTTTCTCATCGTTATTGTTTTTAAGTTCAACGGGTATTTGGATGTTTACTGATGTAATTTATGCTTTTCCACGTTAGCCTCAATTTATTTTTCTTTTCATTCATATGAACATGTGTCTTCAGAGGAGATAATTGCAGTCTTAATTTCAGCGAATAATGATGTCGTTACGCTGTTTGCCAATAAGTTTACAAATGCAAATTGGGAAAAAAATCATGCATCCATGAACTAAACTTCTGTTATTAGACAGAATGAATCAGCGTATTTTCATTCCAAGTTTCTCTAGTCCATAAAAACAAGAAAAAAAAATAAACGTGATAATCTGACGCTCAACAAGATCTAGGTAACCCTAATTGCTCAGCAATTTAAAATAAAGGTGTTTTAAAAAAGAAGTGAGCTAAAACACGGATTTTAACGCGTGACGTCAAAGAACCCAGCCTACGAAACGGCGGTGGGCAGCTGGCGTATATTGACTCTCTGACAACAGATAAATGTTGAAACGAAATGCATGTCGAATTTCTGGAATGAGCCTTTAATCTCGCGCTTTCTTAAACAACATTCAACGCTTGTTGGTCCTCGCTGTCTGAATTCTGTTAAAATCCAAACAATTACCGTTTCGCTTTGTCAACAATTTCCTAAAATAGGGTCTACTGACTTATTTATATTCAAAACTGTCATTTCTCTCGATTGACACCCTTTAGGCTCACACAATAAGGATAAAAGAGATCCCCTAAGATAATCAATAAAATCTCTTATTGCCTAAGCCGGAAAATAACAACGGTTTGACGTCAATACCAGTTTGATTGACAGGAATTTGGATGCAATGGGAAAATAACCCCATTATGTGTTCGTTGGGTCGTGACTGAAACATGAATCAACCATCACAAACCATCAGGCCGAGGTCAATCTCGTTTCATCTCTCTACGAACTAGACGCAAATAAGCAAGTTTCTCGACTTTTCCATTACAGTTTGTACACAAACCAACCCTGCTCAGCCAATAATCTCTCTGAGACTTCTGGACATCTTCTTTGAGAGCCTCTCGACACGAGCATGTGTTCATGGGATTGAATTTCCCAGCGCAATTAGTCTTGAGCGTAGAGACTGACAAAATACATTTGAGGCTGTTCACAGGTTACGGCGAGGTAATCTGGTGTGCTTAGTCAAAGACGCTGGTAGTGACAGACAAATATTCATGATCTCAGCGTTCCAGACACAGTAACTTCTCTCAAGGAAATGGTTTCAGTATTACCGCAGTTAACTATTGTGCCAGTAGAAAGCGGAATGAATTCTGTTAGCTCTGTGTTCATGCCGCAAAGAAACAGTTTTCGTCCAAAGAAAAAGTTAACAAGAATTGCCAACGGACTCAAAACCCAGGGAATAACAAATCAGTATAATTTACCTCCGCAACTATTTGTGACCTCGAAAACGGACAAAAAAAAGTTTTCCTCCGTTCCAAAGATAATAATTGATACGGTAGAAGATGACAAACCCTGGGAAAACAGGAACTCGCCGAGGTTACAGGCGCTACAGAGTTATACAAAGCCAGGACTTCATTGCAATGCAAGATTTCTTCATCCTTCGTATACAGTCTGCGCGGCCGTTTCCGCGAATGACCCTGGCGCTCTCAAAAATATTCTACTCTCGGGGTCCGTGAATATTGATCAGTTAACTTCGAGCGGGGCTTCGGCACTTCACGAGGCGGCTTATGACGGGAAAATAAGTTGTGTAAGCGCTTTAATTCAATGCGGAGCTGATGTGAACATTGTAGACAGCGAAGGATGGACACCGCTCCACGCCGCAGTTTGCGGGAGAAGTTTACAGTGCGTCGAGCTACTTATCGGTCGTGGCGCGAACGCCAAAGCGAAAACGGACGACGGACTAACACCGCTTGGAATCGCGTTACAACAGGGCGACAGAGACATGATTAAACTATTAACATCGCTTTCTAATCGGACGCAAACATCGAACAGACCGAGAAGGTACTCTTTCAAAGAAGCGAAAGCGCTGTTGTCATTTTCGCCTTCAAATGTTTAATTTAATGCGTGGGATGTCAGCAAAGGTTTCCGCAAGGATATCAAGAAAGCTCGATAATACCTTTATCTGAATGCTGTGAATTCAAAGAACTATGAAGGCCAATGACGAATTTTCCGTCTGACGTATTTACAGTTCCTATTTCTCTCTCTCTCGTCGCTTCCTTTTCTATATTAAATTACTCGCAAGAACAGCTTTAGTTGAAAAATGCAGAGTGTGTCATCCGCCGTTGAAAGTTAGATTTGCAGACGCTTATATTTAAGACTAAATTCAGCCATGATATTGTAGTTAAGAAGCTAAACAAATGCATAAACAAGAATATATTTTTCAGAGAGCCGGCTGGCCGGCGGTAAATATTTTTATAAGCTTGGAAAATATTACAGTGTGAATATAGCAAAAAAAGCAAATAAAAGAAATTTAGCAGATAATGGAAACTTTATGTGGCATGGACTTTCCTCCTAGAATAGCCTTTTTATTATCATCACTTTTTTTTTGGTATCATACTTTATGTGGCAAATGAATGATGAATGACAGGAAATGTATGTTGGTATTATGTTCTCTCCGAAAATATACTGAGTCCGGTATAAATAAACATTTCGAAATACTGTTTTATAACAATCGACGCAAACTGGAACCCGCACACCGCAGGGTATATCCTGATTTTGAACCTTTCAAGTAGCTACTTTTTTCGCCTGCGTTTTAACATATTATTTCTTGATACGCAAGAGCATTCTTGAAAACACCGCTGATTTCTCTCAGATTTAGTAAAAAAAGGTAACAAAGTTTGAGAGGGGTAATTCCCCCATCCAAATAACAATGTTTCGCAGTTTTCATTTTCGAACTTTGTTTACCCAAAGATCTAAATACTAAATCTCTTTATACATTTTGGAAAATGCTTGTTAACCACTTTCCCATGAATAGGATGAGAATTATCTTTTTGGCGACAACAAATTCGAGTTGCAAATGGAAGACTACACTTAGTTGGGCTGAGGAAGAACACGTAAAAACGCACGAAAACCAAGAAGTGACTTCCAGTAGAAAGTCGAAGGTCGACAGTTAAGGCGAGAAGCTGAAAAATGTTTGAACTGAGGCAATCATCAAAGAAAAAGAGATAAATCCATGATAAACGAAAAGAGCTGAGACAATTAACACGTGTTGCAAACACAAATTTCAATCAACTATTAGACGGGGATGTGGTGACGGAATAGCGAACCTTCGAGAATGAAGAATTTTTGAAATTGAACATATTTCACGACAAGGTGAGGTAAATAGTAAGCATATCAGTTCGAGTTGAATTCTTCAAAGGGCGGAGTGGATATAGAAAAAACTGCCTCAGAAAAGAGACACGCGGCCTAATTTTTTTTTTTTTATCTAGCAACATGTGACCTCGGTCAAAAGACTACGTTTGTTCCCGCAAAGAAATGCAACCATCATTGACAATTTCGTCGTTCACCCTTCAAATTTTTGCGTCATATTTTGGCGTATTTGCGTCTCCTTGAACCAACACTTCGTACTTTCCTTTGTATTGAAAATTGCAAACTTGGTACGCCATAAACAACCCCAGTTAAATATCGCACTACATGACGGAGCGCTTTCAACTACTGAAGAATTTGTTTGTATTTATGGTCGATAGTGCATGCACATTCCTTCTCTGCATCACTTGATTCTAGGAAAGGTCAGAAAATGTGTTGTATATTTTAGATATATCATTAAATTTTTGCTATTTAATTTGAAGGCCAAATAAGAATTAGTTAACCTTGCTGCTAATTTTTAGTCCCAGTTATTGTGCTACTAGTAACGTCGAAAACGTCTGAGATGAGACGAAGGAGCTTGTGGCTATTATTGTAAATTGAAGTTCATAATTAAATCAGCGGTTTTCATTCTTGATATTTGTTCTTCAGTGTAAGTGCTGCTTTGCACGCTTCGAGTTAGATTGGTCCGACAGAGCGATGGATTTTAAGGAACAAAGGCAAAACCAATTCTCTCTAATTTTAGTCAAACAGATTCACGTTTCAAGTTATCGTTGAAAGTTATTTTAGACATGAATTTGGAGCGTGTATTGAAATGGAAACCAGTCCAGTCAGTCAAAACGAATATCCAAAGCAGAAAAATATACTAACTGCTCAAACGTTTGTCAATTAGGTAATTATACTTATCTGCGGTTCGTTGGAAAATTCGCGCCACCAAATAGTCACGTCAAATGGGTTTTAATAACAACAGGTAGCATGCGGGCGTGCGTACGTGCGTAAAGCTAGAACTCCATTGCTGCAGCAACACATAATCGCTTTAATAGGCACGCATTTCACAGGCATTATGTAAGTGAAAACCTGCATGTACGTAAAACAATCTAGCCGGATATAAGGAAAGCTTGTGTCTGTAACAAACAAAAAAAAAAAAAGAAGCGCACGTTCAATTGTTTTTCGGCAGACGCCGGCAACCCCTTCTCGACTGTCTCTTTTGTTCCAACTTCGTTCGTGTCGCAAGTCCACGGAAAACGCTGCTGTGTAGTGTTCGCTTGCTGGCACGCTCTGTTCATTTCGCGGATTTCTTTTTCTTTTTAGGGTAAGAAGGACTAAAGCTATCCATACACTGTCCCATTTCTTATTCCTGCACACATACACTTGAGTCTAAGGACAATGTAACATACAAAAGAGGAAGTTGTTTAGGGCCCTTGAGTAACCTCGTCATTTCTTGTCACACGCCATTAAACACATGACTGTTTCAATATCTATTTTGCTTAAGCGAGGGTAGCCTCAGGGAATACGGCTCGTGCTGTGAAACAGTGCACGTTTATTAGATCTGAGCATCTTGAGAGTTTAAACAAATTAAAGCAGTCTCTAGAGCAAAGAATATTTATCGGCTGAGCCTAGCAACACAGCATTCCCTTGTTACGACATTCACTGTATTAAACTATAATGCAATTAAACATCCTTTATTTGAAGTAAATCAATTTGAGGCGAACAAAGAATTTTCGTGCAGGAACAGTCAAAACTAAAATTGTGTTCAGATGTCCTTTCTTGTTACATACACTGTTGGAAACAGCACGTCCCCGAGGTATCTTTGGCGTAAAACCAATGTAACGACCGGAAGGCACGTCAGCCATAACGAAAAAATCAGTCATTTACAAAATAAAAAATTGCTTGAGGCTAGGGTCATCTAAGAAGTACACCAGCCAAGCAAATTGCGAAATATCTGAAAGACGTATCCTTTTCTCCCCTGTCCTCCTCTCCATTTCTTCTCGGTCGTCCTCCAGTGAACTTGAAAAATAAAACAGCTAATTTGGAGTAATAAACAAAAGCACAAAGCTAAAAATAGTAATTGGTATGATTCACAGAAAGCGCTGTAAGGCGACAAGCGATGAAACTAAGATCCAGTGGAAATAAACTGAGCCTCAGAGACAATAATTTGTCGAGTTAATAGCCTAGGGTAGTTATTTCGGCCTCACAAGGCCTAACCTATTTTAGACGTTCAGTCAGTAAAGTAAAGGGCGCGACAATAGCGGAACAGTGAAAGAACGAGGGAAGTCTGTGTCGGACCGCACAAAGAACAACGCGACCCGATCAAAACTGAGAGGTCTGTTGCCTCGTGATCAGTTTTATACTGCGAAGATAAAATCCAACTACAAGAACTGTTATCCCCTTAAAACTTATAAAAGCAAATGTTTTAGGGAAGAGGAAAAAGGGACAAAGAATTTATATAATGACCCGGGGAGGGGCCAAGTTAAGAAAATTATCGCACGAGAAATTTCCAGAAGGAAAGGTTTCAGCGCATCGACCTTGGCGGGGAGTAATTCTAGGCGAGTCAGACAAAGACCTTGAAAAGAAAGGTCTTTTAATAGCATAACAATTCAGAGAGGGACGGGTCCTGAATAGTTTAGTTTGTCGTCTTTTTAAAGTAAAAAAAAGTAAAGTAAACAATATCTTATAATGATCTCAAACAAGATAATGGCCGTCATAAAGGATGGATTTTGTTATCGTATCTAACCTTAGTTTATAAATAAAATCGTATTTTTTTTGCTAGATCGTCACAAGGTTATCGTTAGATCATATCTCTCTTCTGACCAGTGTAAATTTGTCAAGTTGTCTGGTGGTTAAAGTTCTTTCATCAGATGTATTAAACTTTCATTAATTGAGTTCTTTTCGTGATTCTAAGGTGAATTGTGTTGGGATAAGCCGAAAATTTCAGCAAACTCGTAAACTCGCGTAGCAATGGATTGCGTTCGAGTCTGGTATCGGGACGTCTCTCCAATGAAAGCTTCTTCTAACTTTTTCCCGAGGGCCGGCCATGCTGACTTGTCTTACGTTGTGAACCGTTTTCTTTTTCTTTAGAGACCGCTCCTTACTAACCTTTTCCCATGTGTCTTTATGGTTAAGAATACATAGCTGTTCCAATGAAAGCTTAGTTTTAGAAAGATTCGCTTACAACGACAAAGTCTACGTGGTTCGGTAAACCCTCGAGAGATCTCGTAAAATATACATGGGGTCATTTACACCGTGATGATTTTCATAACTGCGCCAGACATCTAAAACATTCCCATCTACCATATGGACGAAGTAATTTCCACATACATCATAACTTAACAACATCAATCACTAAGGTTTTAATGAAATGATTAGGCTGGATTACAATAAATTTATACCAAGTGACTTGGAGCCGCCAGGATGAAGTGACAATGAGCTTTTCACTCAGCTTTTATCTGAACGTGAACGGAATCTGCGTTTCCAAATATGGCTGTTATTTCTCTGAAATGTTTTCTCTGGAGACAGTTTATCCAAGAGTTTAGGAAGTATCACATCTATATTGAGGTTGAATCTGGCCGAAGATGGCAGCCATTGACACTTCCATTTCCCCTCCAGATGATCACAGGCGCTAACTCGCTCGCCACTCGTGGTGACAAAGGTTGGCTCCGACAAATTAGGAAGATCGGTCTTGTTAGACACGATGATGACTGGAATTCGACGATTTCTGTCGGCACAGCAGCTCTCTATCTCATCCATGAGTCTTTCCAGCTTTGTGAAGGACCCCGGCTTGTCCAGAGAATACACTAATATTGCAGCGTCGGATTTTTGGATGGCGATTCGCCTCATAGCAGGAAACTCGTAGGTTCCCGATGTATCGATGATGTGAATCTCACAGGTTTTGTTTCTGTAGGTCATCTGCTTCACGTAGAATTCTTCTACTGTAGGCACGTGTTCGTGAATAAATGCCTCCCCTACGATATGACGAATGATTGAGCTCTTCCCTACACCAGAATCTCCCAAAACAGCAACAGTAATTGTGTTAAGATAAATAGCTCGACGAAATTTATCCGCTTCCTCGAAGACACCGGAAGTCGATTTCGCCTTCTTCCGTAACATCCTGGATAGGAAAATTAAGGTCGTTTCTCTCGGAGTAGAACTTAAGAGTTACAATTAATCTCAACAAATCACTATTCAAGTGTTGAAAGTTAAAGCGGGATTCCCGTTTGCAAGACTTTTAGCAACGATAATAACCACCAACGCTGATAACCTTGATCAGATCAATTGAGATAATTGGGTGTATTAGATTCCATCTCAAGCAAGAACGCATTACAGTTACACCCTAATGGGCAACTTGCCACTTACAATCGTGCTTTAACTTCCACGAGAGCCTTAACTTCCTTGAAGTGACCAACATGTATCTTCCCCTTACAAAATTAATTAATTTTCCTGAAAGCTAGTAATGAAAATGATCAACCTTGTCAACTAAACTGTGTTATATTCAGGTAAGAAAATATTCTCTTGATTCAGGTTGATATTTAAACAAATTTCCTCGAAAGATAACAGGGACAATTTCAGCAGCTGAAATGCATATTAAATCTTGGTGGGCAAGAGGTGAAAATATCAAAGTTTTTATAACACACTTGT